GGTGTAGGCATAGAGGTTGGAGACATTTTGTTCCTCTACCAAGGCATCCTGGTAACTCATGATGAGACAGCTTGAAGCTTTCTGTATATAATAGGATTTAAGAGACACATGTTGCCATTTCAGTGATGGTTAAAGACAGCACAGCACAGCAGGGCAGGAACCCACAATCTTTTTCTGGCTCTTACCCATCACCGGGGACTTCTCTCAGCTTGAGCCCCAGGGCCTGGAGCTGGTTGGAGAAACTGACAAACTCTGCTCCATCATCCCCGTCTTGAGGCCGGTTCTTGCGGTCCTTCACGATGGCCCTGCGTGCCGCCCGCTCGTCCCTCTTGCGTTCCATTTCATTCTTCTTACTTCTCCCGACAGGTTTCGTCGTCTGCTTCCTGGACATGTTGGCTACTGTTGTTTCTGCGGGCATACAACACCAAAATATGCTTTCTTATAGGAACAAGATGGGACCTGCTTCAACCGCTGCCAAACATCTGAAAAAGATGAAAACGAAACAGAGGTGAGGGGGTGAAGATTTCATATAAAGAGGTGGTTATTTCAGCCAGATAGTCTTCTTTTTAGCTGTAAGACAATATAACCTCAGTGACTTATACACGTCCATGCTGAGTTACTTAAACTATTCATATGGACAGTAGCTATAAGTTACAGCATGAGCTATTATTCATGTTGGCATATTCAAAATATAAATAAACAGTTTGTTCCAGTGTCATCTCGGCATGGTTCACAGTGACCACTTTATATTAAACCATATTGTCTGATTGACAAAAAAACGTTAGCTTAGAAAAAATGTAAAGAAGTTACATTACATTACATGTAATTTGTTAGACGCTTTTATCCAAAGCGACTTACATACATTCAGTACTGTGGACAATCCCCACAGGAGCAATTTGGGGTGAAGTGTCTTGCCCAGGGACACAACGACATGCTGACTGCAGTGGGGCTTGAACCTGCTATCCCCTGATTCAAAGTGCAGCACACTTCCCAATGAGCCACAGCCTCCCTTGTTGGTGTTTATGTGTATTAAATGAACATCACAAATACAAATAAACACTCATTATATAGGATATATGATATAACTTAGGGATGAGGTTGTATGCAATACAAACTGATATAACCAGTGACTTAACATTATTAGCAACAACTTTAACTGTATTTAGTTGACTTTGTAAGGTTAATTTTAGAATTACGTTGAATAACTTGACAGTAAGGGCAGTTTGGTTATATAGCTGACTTAAGTTAACTATATGATATTATTAATTGTAATTGTAACGGAGTACTGACAGTACTAGTACATTAGTATTACTTGTTCGCTAACACAAACTGAGTCAAGTTAGCTGTTAGCTGACATGAAGTTCGGCAGCTAGCAGCTAGCTTGTTAGCATTAAACGGCTGGGCATTACATAATAAATCATATGTTTCCGCTTGTAGCATTCCCTACATAGACAACAACTGGAGCGGTTAACAGTAAATAGAAGGATGCTTACCGTTAACAAGCTGGGTTTTTACAAAATATGACAATGTTTCTTTTTGTGTCATTTGTCTGACTCGTAATGGTTTGTATCAGTTTTGTTTACAACAAATGTTCCGCTTCCGTGTGTCCGTTTAAGTCGAAACGTACGGAAGGGGGAATGGGCCAAACTAGGCAAAAAATTGTTTTACATTGAGCAGATACTTTTATAACCAAAACTATAACTTTCAATAGGTTTATCGTTTTAAAGATAGCTTAGTGGCAATTTTGTATTGATAATTAGTACCAATCTACACCTTTTTGCGATTTTCAGATAAATCTAATCTATATATCTGTCTATCTGTCTGTCTATCTATCCATCTATCCATCTATATATATAATAGTAGTCACAACCATCTCTGAGACATCTTATATTGCAGACTGTGACTCAGGACAATAGCAATTGTATAATAAATGTTGCTTTTAAAAACCACCCTCTCTGCTCTCCTCCTCTCTTAGAAAAATCTACTCACCACCACCAACTCCTTCTGATGACTCCACGCAGTTGCTGAAAGTAATGTGGAGGAGGAGTGGGCTGAGAAGAAATAAACAGGATGTTTGAGGATGCTGAGTAAAAAAGACCAGCAGACACACTGAGACAAAATAATGTGCCTCAAGACATAAAACTACACTAGAAAATACAGAAGAAAGCCGTTTTCTGTTTCCTAAAACTACAAAAAATACTAATTTACACAAAAACAGTAACAGAAACTGGACATGCATGGCGCAAAAGTCAGTAAGTGTGTACAGTTTAATATAGACCCCAGTGAGTGATGGCATTGTGTGTTAACATTGTTTCATGTGCAATCAGCATCACTCACGTAACTGAAACAGAAGGGCGGTCAGCCAAGCGTGGACAACATAGGATTTTATATACATGTACAGTATGTTTGTGTGTGTGTTTGTGTGAGGGAGAGAGGGTGTGTGAGTCAAACAGGATACATGCTTTTTTTAACTTCAGTCTATAATATAATGTTATTATCTTATGCTAACTGATTTACATTTATTTTATGTCAACAATTGTATTCCTACTGTCTTTTTTCATGACATTACACAAGTTCTTTGATATGGATATACCTGCAGAATGTAATCATGAAATATAGGCACCTCTTCACCTGTGCTAATATCCTACATGAGTAAATATCTTGGTACAGGTTTAAAAGGTTCCTCCAATAGAATAACCTAAAGCAGTTTATCCTTCCACACTATTGTAAAGTGTAATTTATATTAAAGCCGAGACAAAAACATGTTTTCTCCCAGTTGACCTTTTTCCAGTGAAGCAAAATAAAAATACTGCTATTTTTGGAAAAAGTTGGTATATTTTCGATCCACAGGATGGTCTTTGTAATCCAATGGAAATAGACTCAGTTCACTCCAATTTCCTGACTCATTGCAAATGGTAAAGCCATGAAGATATTCAACAGCAATTTATCTTTCTAGAAACAAGGTCACTCGAATTCCGAGCTCCTTGACATGTGAATAATTCTTTAATGTATTCATGTTAGGTCACATTTTTCTTGATCATCAGCTGTGTCTAATTTGGCTTCAGTGATTGGCTGACCACCTTTTCTTGAGGTCAGCGTTTTATTGAATTTGTCCCATGAAAATCATTGCACGTACAATCACTATTCAACAGAAATCTCCATTGCCTTGCAAAAAAAAGACAACAGATAAAAATAAAAGAATACCATCTGTGTTTTTCTTTCAAAGCAACATATTATATTGGTGCAAGTTACAATTTATTTCCACTTTAGTTGAATGTCATGGTTTCAGGTCATTTTACTATCAAGTGTTAGCATTAACCCCTTTCTGTAGATTTCAATTACAGTCTTCCACACTGTAACCCAGCTTGGCGGTGTTTCTTGACGACGACGACGACGGGGGGGGGGGGGTGGGGGGTGGAAGTGAAATAACACTGCTGTGTGCCTTTGGGTGATGACAGCAGATGGATTCATGTATGCAGGGCAATTTTATAACACAAGATAAGTGACTATTTCGTAACAATGTCTTAAAATATACATTTACATTTATTTTCAACATTTCAGAAAATGTATTCTATGGCAGTGATGCAAGCTACTGTGTGTCCATGCGAGCATGATGTTCATTTTGATTGCATGGAAAACATTTGTCTTCCCGCTGTTTTTATTTTCATGCCATTGTTAGTCTGTTTGGTTAGGCTGCATGATACATTTGGAGTCATTTCACATTTTATTGGATGATTTGTAGTTTGGTCTGAATAAGTATTTACAAAAATATGTTGGTAGTGAAGAAGTTTAACCTGACGCATCCACTTTTGATATTGTACTTAGCTTTAGTCTTCACAAGACATAGGCCTATAGGCCTAATATTACATCTGATATTAAATATTGCAGTGATTTCAATTTGTCCAGAGAATATAAGACATTCTTCAAATGTTTTGAAGGAAAACTATTTTACTCCCGCTGGCTGACTAGCTAAAGGAAAAACCTACAGTCTATATTCCAGAAAGGTATAATAATATTTTTGACAATAAACATGCGGAATAATACAAATAACCCAGTATGAATGCTGCAGAATCAGAAACTGAACAGCTGTAATGTCTACAAGAGAAATAGCAAGCAAGGGCGTTTGTGTGTCTGCTTCTGTTTAGTGGCAGTATTGGGGGGGGGGGGGGGGGGGGGGGGGTTAAGCCTCTGGAGAAGACGGAGGTTAAATCATCATGAAGATTGAAGCCCTACAGTGCATCTGCAGGTATCCACCACTATAGATAATGAGCCTGTATAGGCCGATGCCACAAAGGCAGTTTGCAGATCTTCCCTCTCTTACCGCCCACTGTACACTCTCTCTCTCTCCAACACACGTACGCGCACGCACGCACGCACGCACACACACACACACACACACACACACACACACACACACACACACACACACACACACACACACACACACACACACACACACACACACACACACACACACACACACACACACAAGAGGTGGGAGTGGATGCTCGTGTAGCTGCTGGAAGCCGGTATGGGATAATCATGCGTGTCTGGCTCCGGGCGTTGATGCAGCTGCCGTTGCTGGATCCGGACTGGACTCGGGGCGCAGGGTGGGTCTAGTTCCCGACTGGAGCGATCTGGACCTCATGTCGATGTTATCAAGCATTCCGAGAAAGACGAGGGCGATGGCCGCGAGAGGAGTCGGTGCAGCTCTTTGAAACGTCCAGCCGAGAGAGAGAAATCGACCGTTTCCGCCGATGGAGGACAGAATTGGCCGGTATTAAAGCGCAGCGCCGGTGTGGAATAACTTGGAAAAAGGAGGGGGGAGAGAGGATAGCCCTGGTAGGATATTGAGGGATCTTCACTTGTTTTTTCTTTATGTTATTTTTTAACTGGGATAGAGATAGACACGCACCTGGAAGAACGGCTCACTTTTGCATCGGTAATTAGGAGCCTCCTTGGAGCTAGAGGCAGCCGCATCCGAGAGACCAACCGGGGGGGGGGGGGGGGGGACTTGGATGGAGAGGGCGCAGTGAGGGACTGAGAGAGCGGCGTGCGCTGTGTAGGAGGAGACGGAGGGAGAACCGGGCAGTTTAAAGTCACGGGGAGCCAGGAGAGGCGCGGCGGCTCCATGAGCGGCTCCTGCCGGGACAGAGCGCCCAGAGCCAAGCCGGAGCGTCTCCACCGCCGCGGGTAGAAGCCCGGGCCAAAGGACGGCGGCCAGTTTGGAAGTTTTGATGCATATGATCACAACCACCATGATTTTTATGATTCTTGGTGCTTCAGTTGTAATGGTAAGACATCTTCACCTCCATCAGCCACGATACGGTTTTCTTTTCTAATTTACGCACCGAGGCTAATATTCAGATCATTACAATTGTTGTGTGAAAGCACCTTACAGCAGGCATATGAATGACTGGTGGAAGTAGGTTAGCCTACCTATAATTACCTGCTGTCATAAATAAATAATCTAAGTCCGTTTGGAGGCAAGAGCCCCCCCCCCCTTCTCCCTCCCCTTTTAGAATCGGGAGGATCTGCCAAGGCTATTTTCTCTCCTTTTTTTCCCTTCATGATCCTTATTATTGTTGTTATTTATCCTGATAATGATGACGAGAATAATTCGCTGTCTGCAGGAATAGCCTAGCCTATTTGCTTGACATGTCCCAGCTGACTTGCATGGTTCTTTGCAGGCGATAGCCTGTTTAATGGACATGAACGCACTACTGGATCGCTTTCACAACTACATCTTACCGCATCTACGAGGGGAGGACCGCGTCTGTCACTGCAACTGTGGAAGGTAAATGCCATCATCCTCGCTCAATATGTTGGGATAAACATTGTGCTGTGTGTGTTTTATTTTTTTCACCCGTCAATTGTTAATTGCTGAAGAGGCCTCGAAGATTTGTGGCGGTGAAGCCCCGCGAAGATTGTATCTGTGGGCGTACATAGCGAGATTATTCATTATTTGCTCTAGATATGACATGTTTGCTCGTGCTGTTTCTTGTTATACACCGACTGCGAAGATTTCGCCTTTTGCTGCATATACGAAGGTGTGTGTCGGAGCCATAAATAGGTAATGAACTATGAGCAATATGAGGCCGTTCAAAAACAATCTGAGCATCAAGTGCGCTACGCAGGCCTACACGGTGACAATATCAACCTGCTGGCTTTATAGGGATCGTATGAGTGCTAAAGTGAAGTGATTATGGCTTAAGAAGTGCTACGATGCTGCTCATCAGCCTACCTAATATTTGCAGGTTGGAAACGGGGAGGAAAACAGCAGCAAGACACTCAATAATAAATAAATCCGAATTAAATCAGCAGTATTGTGCATTTTTCAGTACAGTATAGGCATGTAATGCAGGCTGTAGGCTGTGTGGATAACAAGAGGGGCCTCTGTTTTTTTCTAGTCTTGAATCTACAGTGCCCTAAGGGAACGGCAACAGTGTTCGGAGTCTTTTTATCCAATAGACCCACACCTATGTCCTCATATTAGATCCTGATGAAACCATGTCTTGCAGGCAGCCATTGTGTAAGGAAAAAGGGAAATGTCACCATTCATGTTGGTGCAAGGCTGAGCAGATGCACATTAAAACAAAACAGCAGTGTATACTGTGCATGCTGCAGTGAGGGGGTGGATACTAGCAGTTCATTGGCAGCATGAGGCCAGTTCTACAGTGTTTATTTTATTTTTGAGCCTGTAAATCCAGAAATGGGTCTTCATCAGGTGCTAGATTGTCAGAGAAGGGATAATCTGAGGCAAAGTTTGGAGGGGCTTCTGAAGGATGTGATGTGATAAGGACTGATGGAGACAAAAAAAATGTGTTTGGAGACAGGACTTGTGATGAGATGATGTATCATCGTATTTGTAATATTTTGACAATCGTGTCATCCTTGCAAAAGGACTGTTTGTGAATGCAAGCAGGGATTGTAGAAAATGAAGTATTACAAGCATGGATTTAAAATGTTTCTTTCTCCAATACAAGTGTTAACCAATCAGGCGATTATAAATAAGTAAACCTCTTGTTAGTTTTCAGGTTGCTGTACCCACACAGTGTCTTTCACTGACCTGGAAACACTCCTGAATGGGAGTCAGTCATCAGTTTTCACATTAAACAGCAGAAAGAGTAGGATATGTGTAGGAATGCAGCACCTGAGCTTGGGTTTTCACTCACCTGCCCTTCCATCCATTAGACGTGGAGGTGTTGTGTCGCCCACAGCGCTCACCTTATCAGGCTTGAGGACACGGCCAGTGTCATTTTATTTGGCAGCCTCTGTGCTGTGATTTGGATGTAGTTGTAGCCTCTGTGACGGGGCCCCTAAGCCTGGCTGCCTCTGTGGCAGCAGGGGAGAGACGTAGGAGTGGAGTTAGTGTATTGCTGGGTGCACACTGCTGATTGGTGTCATGTTGTTGTGGGAGTCTGCAGGATAGTTGTCCTACAAGGTGATCTAAATCCTTTCATTGGGGCATTTTCATTCTAAATGTTGACAGAAAAACGTATGGTTGGTTTCAGTTTTATACAAGACACCAAACACATAGATTTGCTGGTGCAGGTGAACCGGACTTAAGGGGACAGTTCACTCCAATTCCAATACACATATGTTCCCTCTTACCTAGTTATTTTATCAATCTATATTTTTAGTGTGAGTTTCCGAGTACTAACATATTGGCCACAGAGACGTATGACTTTTCTCATATACAATGGAGTTGCAGCACCAGAGTTTATTTAATAATTCAATAACAATACCCTTTTTTTCTTTCTACCCAACTACCATATGACAGACAAAGGTGTTGAAGCTCACTCTCACTTGGCAAGCGTGATTTGGTAGAAAGAAACCAGTTCCCACATGGATTTGCTTACAACAAGGTCTTTGGATTATCTTGAGTAACAGGGTTATGATTTCTGGAAAGATAATTACTCTTGAGTTTGTTCAAGTGTTTTTTGGGCACCAAAGCCAAGTGTCATATAGTTCCGTTATATTAGAGAGAGGGCAGACATCTTTGTAGCCGATTTAGCTACTTTGCAAATCACAAAAACAATCTAGATGGAAAAATACCACTAGGTAAGAGGAAATATATGTATTTTTGGTTTAGGGGGTTAAATACATACAGGCAGCATAAACTAATCCTTTACTTTATTTAAAGGCATTTGGGCAAAAGCCTTCTTGAGGGAATAGAAAGAAACCTAGAGGAAGATTTAGGCTTATTTGTACACGTAGCTTAGCTTTAATGGACCTTGGTGACTGTATGGTTTTAGTCTATGAGGTCCAACAGGTGGTTCTATCCCCCATGTGGCCCTGCTACTTCTTCACTGAGATACTTAAGATGTGTGTTTCCCTCCATATTCAGTACTAAGTGCTGCTGTGTTTCTGCAGTGCACTCCACAGGGAATTTCTGTCACTCAATTATCACGGGTGGATTTTCTGTTAATGAAGTTGCATTCCTGTAGGTGGAGATTTTGTACTGCTTCCTCAATTTACACCAGAAACATCAGTCCAGTTTACTTCCAGTGCTTATGATTCTGCCAGTAAAAACCCACAAGACAGTGGCTGTTAAACATATTAGTAATACGTATAAAACCTGTTTTTAAGAGGGGACATTCACCAGAGATCATCTAGAGAAAACACTATTGTGTTGTACTACAGTAAATGCAGTTAGGGTGTTTTTTTTAGCTTGACAGGAAATTAGGGCATCTAATGCTGCTTCAATTCTGACATTGGGAAGCAAATCCCAGATTTTAGATCCCAGAACAATGCTTAAAGGATTTTGGTTTTAGCAATCCACTGTGAATCCTTTTGTTAAAAAGCAACCTCCTAAATAATCGGTCTCTTGCAAAATTGCCCAAATTCAATTTATTTGTAAAATGTCCCAATGTGTATCTGTATTCACTTCCAGCATTTAAATCTCGTCCACTGCGGTCCCTTATGTTTGTCAGACAACTGCCTGTGTTGTTAGATTGGAAAACGTTTTCATCCTCTCTCAGGAGAGCGGGTCCTACCAATTGTAAGATTTACAAAGTTAGATGTATCTCTTTTGTCAATGATGTACAGCATGGCAAAATGGGATGGACTGCGTTGTTGTTGAAAGGTCCTACATTAGTAAATGCAGCAATATACAGCATGCATTTTGTCCTCTAGCAGTAATGCGAGAGTCATACATTTACTGATCTATTACAAACGTCTTTAAATGTGCAGTGAAACATTTCCATATGTGTCACCCCTTTCTTCCTGTGAGGTGCTAACACCAGGTTAGTAGCAATCAAACACCCTGGATTAGTGAAAAAGACCATTAAAACTGGTCTTTTATGTCTTTACTGCATGAGATTCCCAGCATAACAAACCATTGTAATCAATCACAAACTATCAATACTTGCACAGTTGGTTTATTTTAGATGATGTGTTTATCTTGGTCTTATTCATGTTTCATTCCATAAAAATGCCGTCAGCAAATCGTAATTCATATTCTGACATTATTGGCAACGCATTTCTGAGATGAAAAGAAAGCCATTAGCAATATTTTCCCTCCATTTTTCAAATAGTTTAGCAAACTTTAGCAAAAGGAATTTTAGCCCAATGACAGAAAGAAAAAACCAGCATAACCTGTAGTATCCTGGAGTAAATGCTTTTCTGAAAGGCACTTTAACAGTAGTTACTGAAGGATGTAGCTGAGTGTTGCTTATTCTTATTTCAGGCTGTGAGCACAAGCCGCTCTTCTTAAACTTTTCCACCCACAGCTGCTTTAAGTGCAGTCTCAGAATACCTAAGGGTCCTTGAGAGGGCTTCAGGGGGTTTTCAGCAAAAGTGTGGATTAGTGCAATTTCAGATTGAATTCTCTAGATATCATCCAAGTTAGAATCAGTACATATAATAACTCTCAAATGGATACAAAATACTAGAACTTAGCAAACAGTGTCTATGGTCTCCAGGGTTAAGGACATTTGGAGAGGGATTTTTCAAGATTATATTTATACAGACGAGAAACAAATTAAAGTGAATATGAAGGAATTCAGGGAATCCAACATATGAAAACAAGTAACAAGAGAGAAAATATTTAAAAGCCTTTAGTCTAGTGGATACATCTTTATTAGAATTTATTTTTATTTTATTTATTTAAGCAAAGCCAACATGTGTCCCCCACTCTTATTCTAACCCTAACCCTTTTAAGCCCTCTGTCATACTTGTGCTTTTATTTTGGAGTGTCTGTTTTTGCCTTCCTGTTTATACATTTGTATCAACCTGATACCTTTTTCATTTGATTTGTGATATATCTGTATGTCATTGAGTTAGCTAAGAAACGTTCATTTGTATCTTTAACTCATAAAATGATACTTTGTTCTATATCAAACACTTCCATCACTTATCGCTGTCTGTCTTCCCCCAGGCATCATGTCCACTATGTAATCCCGTACGATGGGGACCATTCCTTGGTGGACTCTTCAGAGAACTACTTTGTGAGTGACAGTGTGACCAAGCAGGAGATGGACTTGATGCTGGGGCTGCTGCTGGGCTTCTGCATCAGCTGGCTGCTGCTGTGGCTGGACGGAGTCCTACACTGTGCCGTCAGGGCCTGGAGGGCGAGCCGCTACTACGGTAAGATGGACTCCGTTTTCTGGTCTGCTGCAGATACACATGAACACAAGCCAAACAAAAAGGGCTGTGGGCAAATGCCAACCTTAACCAAAGCCATGAAAGTCTTGAAATATTAGCAAGAGTGTAAGTGTAGCCCCATGATTTGGATCCACTCTAAATTGTAACTGGTTCTTTCTTGGCCCATGATACACACTTCCAACAAGTTACAGGATATGAAATTATCTTTGTAGATGCATCCATCCACCGTGTATCTGCATGTGCAAGCGATTGCCAGGTTATACAGCAGTTGGTGGAGCTCTCGTAAATGACCTTCCCCCCATTGCTTGGCCCATATTTGGCTCTACTCAATGTTTTTTCTTCTCAGTTTACTGCGTCCTCTTGAAAATCATATCCAAACCTTCCAACTGTGTGATCAGATGGAATCGAGGATGATACATTTTTTTCTTCTTTTTGGCAAGCTGAATTACTCTCGATTTGTTTTCAGGAAACAGCGATTGTCAAAGGCTAATATACATGTACAAAAGAGTACCATCATTATGTTCTGACTATGGTAAACTCATTATTCACAAGATCATTATTTTATAAGACAAAATGAAAGGTTTAAGTAAAAAGTTTAGCCTGTTAGATACATGTTTTGTTTGCATTGATTGGTTAAAATAACAACAGGTTAGTGATTTTTAAATCAGGTTTGACAGAACATCCTCTGCTTACCAAAGCCTTTGTGCAACATTGTAGGAACTGTAAGGTAAACCTTAAATTATCTAATTGGAGACACTGCAGAAGCAAAATTGTTGCAGTAAAACGTTTTTTTTATATTAATTAGTTTAAATGATAAAGATGATGCAAACGCCAACTTGCTTGAATTGAACCCCAGGTAAGACTTAATCTAGATGTATCATGACATGCCTCGTAAAGATAACATTATATATGATGGAAATGTATTAAAATATGTCAAGTAAGTCAAATTATAAAATTAAAATAAAGACACTAACTTTGGACTCCTGGACTTCCACAGCTGAGGAGGCACAGCAAACGTAGGTCTTCTAAGGTGATGAGGATAGATTTGCGAGTCACTAGAAGGGCCCTTAAAGAGGATCTCAAGCAGCAATCAGAATCACTTTGGGGTTAACAAATCAAGCAAATAAGCTGACTTAAAACCATGAAATCAATTCTACAATTGACAGTCAGTCATTTCTCTCGGAGAGCCTGATTAGCCTGCTGAATAAACTATGTTGATATTTCTCCTGCAAAGAGCCCAAGTGCGTCACAACAATCAAGCCTGAAGGAGACACAGGCATGAATGACCTTCTCCAGGGCTGCAAATGAAAGACAAAAAACATCTTAGTTATGGGCCCTAGTTAAATAAAACACAATCACACCACATGAGCAAACAAAGACAGACTTCAGTGTTAGTGAAGACAGGCTGAGCAGATTACACATAAGATAATTAACAGCGCTAGTATAGGGACCAGGAGGGGTTGTTAGCATGACATAATGCAGGATGTAGGATCTATAATTCAAGGCTTGATTGGACTTTAAAACAGCAGGTCAGCTGTGATATACCCCAAGGAGAGGCTATTAATATAAAATGAAGAGGAACCCAAGATAAACCCCTGGGGGACACCACAAATGAAAACACGTTTTATCTGGTATGAAGTTAACCAGTATAACACTACATTGGTATCAGAGAATCAATTCATATATAGTGGTCCACTTTGTGAAAGGCTGAGCTAGGATGAAAGAAAATCAAAGTGTTTCGTTTCAGGCAGAGTGAGTTCCCAGAGTCACTGCGGTATCAACAAGACACCACTGTTCCTGTTCCTGGCCAGGAAATTCTTTCAGCATGTAACTGTAAAAACAAATACTCTCATTTGCATATTTTGGTATACGAACAGACTGATTAAATAAGATACAGTGTACAAAGAAAACAAATCTTTAAAAGGTGCTTGTTTGGGTATTTAAGCATTTAGCAGAGACATGCCAGCTGTTTCCCCAAAGCCACCAACTTGCTGCGTCTAGCTCCATGCAAAGACATCAGCGGTATTTTTTTCTTATCATGTAACTTTTGGTTAAGGTTTAGGTTTCCAAAAAATGGCAAACTATTCCTTTAATAAATCCACAGCACCTCTATACTTTTTATAAAAATCAGTTTTTATCTTTTTATACACTAAGGCAGATAAATGCCAGAAAAAAAGTCTTACATTACAAAATGGGAGCAGTTGGTTGAGTCAGGATGACATTTATCCATTGATGGTGAAGGAAAACATAGTTCAGAAAGATATATATATATATATATATATATAATGTGTAGGCCTTTTTTCCAGGAAACATTTTTGACTTATGACAGTAGAAAACACAAAGGTGTTACTATTAATATTAACACTGTCTCAATGCTATTCCAGTATGAGGTTCAAAAGCTGTTCACACACACACACATTTTTAACTATTCTGACCTCTGATAAGGTTGAAGGTGGACGAGCTATGCTATCATTTATGTGATTGATTACAGTCCTACTTGTCAAGGGCCGAGTGGCTAAAGCGCCCTAAGACCACATAGAGACACAAAATGACCACAATGAGACACTCCAAAACAACTGCAAAGAGACAGAAAACAATACAAAAAACATGAGGCTATACTTGTGAGAGTCTTGCCTGTCTTGTCTGTCACCATGGTGCCCATTGTCTCCAAATCCGCCAATGCTATAGATTTGCATGGCCTTTTACTCAGTAATGATATTACTTTGGCTTCAACGGAGCTGCATGTCCCAGAAATGTCATGCGTGTCAAGCTTGGTCATTGAGAACATTCTGACTAAGTGGTTAGCACTGTTACAGAGCAGCAAGGCAGACCTGGTTTGAACTCTCTAGTTACAGTTCAAAGAATAAAAAGATAGCAATCATTTATACGTACTATACGTTTTTACATTCACAGGAGTGCAGAAAGCCGCAAAAACATAGATTAAAAGTATTGGTGTGTAAATGTGTCAATTCACATTACACTGAAGATAAGATGAATTAATGTGCAGAATTGGACTGGAATACTTCTCTTGGGGAAATTAGGTTGTCTCAATCTCTAAAATCTGACCATCCAGATATTTGTTTGAAAAAAGCGTTAAATACACTTTTGTAATACATTATACAATACTTATATGTAATTTAACATACATCTGCTACGAAGACTGGTTCAAACCAGGCTGGAGAAACAGAGAGAAAATACTTCCCTCCCACCATCTGCTGTATCGTAGTGAAAGCTACTTTCCCACATGTACTTAAATCCAACCGAGTGTGATAGTTGCTCCTCAATTTCCTGTCCCCCGTCAGCGCTCTCTCTGAGATATCTGTTTCATTTCTCTCACCGTATCTTTATGACAGATGAACGAGGCATGTTACTTTAGTAAAGGAAAAGCAATGCAGCAGATTTAACGAGACATAATATGTGGTTTATAGTTCACCAACATTAAAAGGCTTTCAGTGAGGCTAAAGCTAAGCAGTGTGAAATCATGACATGGCAGCATGAAATCCCTCATAGTCTGGCGCTCTGTAGAAGAGACAACGCAGTGGATTCATCTCTGTTGCACTAGCAAGATGTTCGCTGATGAGCTGAGTATTAACATCCTGGATTAAAGGGTTTCAGTTTGTCACGGTCAAGCTGTTCTACCCAGTCAGGTTCAAACCCAAGGGGAAACACTCAAAAAGTTTTAGGTTTCGTTTAGCACAAATAAGCTAAAGTTACTGAATATTGCAACAAGGTTTTTAAAAATAGGATTTTGAGGTTGACTAATGTGTCTGCGCTCTGTCTGTATCAGGCCTGTATTGTGGAGGTGGCCTGGATCCTCAGTTTTAAGGATAAAGTAGGTGATAAATGTAGCCTGGATACTTGGACTGCAATGGAAAAGCTCCTCGGGCAGGATAAAAAAGTATGAAGCAATGTTGGAACTTAAAGTTATGATGTGTGCTATTACCAATAGATGTATTAACATAGAAAACGTTATGTAGTATTTGGATTTTTGGTGTTTTTATGAGCTGCTACATTGTAAAAGGGGTGTGAATTGTACAAGCTTTGATATATGCAGCTTTTGCTCAGAGGTGTGAAAGGTTTTGCAGCAGCGAGTCAGACAATGCTGTTTTTTCTCCAGTGCATTAGTACAATAGTGTAAAATACATCATCATAAAAAAACACCCCCAGAGAGGAAGGAGCATCCATATTTATTAGCAGCAGTAGGAGTGGGGGATATGGGATTCTTCTTTTTGAACCGGGAGGGAATGCCCCTTTCTGTGTGTGTGTGTGTGTGTGTGTGTGTGTGTGTGTGTGTGTGTGTGTGTGTGTATGTGTGTGTGTGTCAATGGTGACATGGATCCTAGGTCCGACTAGTTTAGCCTCCCCCAGATGAGGAGTGAAGGTGAGGCTGACAGAAGGGAAGTGTGTGTGTGTGTGTGTGTGTGTGTGTGTGTGTGTGTGTGTGTGTGTGTGTGTGGTGCAGGATGGAGATGCTGTCACATCCCCACCCCCACATACACACACTCTCTCCTCCAGAGCTATAAATAGAATGAGAGAGAGCAGCTGGAATGGCAAGTGAAAAACACACACACATACACATGAAACACACACACAGTACATTGAGATGCACATCGATTCCTATTGCCCCCCACCCTTCCCACTCCTAATTCCATCTCTTGCTCCTCCCCCTCCACTTATTGAATCTACTCCTAGCCATTTCCTTTACAACGCTTCCTGATGCAACTACTTCCCCCCCCCCACCCTTCTTATCCTTGCTAATATCTACACAGTCTCTTTTGCAAAGACACCGGAGAAAGAGAAAACACCAAAATGGAAAAAACGATGACTTGGCGTTTGTACCAACCCCCCTTCCTATAAAAGAGCATAGCAATTGTGCCTCCACATTTTTTTCTGCCCAGCATTACCATTTCTCCCGGCTCTATCCCCATCCTTTTATTCAAATGAGAGAAATCTGTCTTCGTTGCCCCTTTTCCTTTGGATAC